TGCTGTCTTTCACACACTCCAAGTTGACTCTTGCCAAAGAGAATTACCTTCTGTCTCCTTTCTTTGCTCTTCGCTTGATTTTCTGTGCCGTTGTTCCAACAAACATTTATTTAGTACTGGCAATGCGGTTTGAGCTGTAATGGAGGTTCACGTGCAGCAAAGAGGATTAAGTACCTAACTGCCTGGGGAGGTCAGGGTAGACTTCCTCAAAGAGGTGGTGATGTTTGAGGTAAGTGTTGAAGGATGACTAGGAGTTTGCCAATCAGATATGATGGGGCTGGTGGTAGAGGATGATAGGAAGGAGGAAGGGCACTTCTTTCTTTTTAATCTTAAGGAAATTTTATTTTTAACAGTTTGCGACTTTGCCAAATGCCATAATGAGATGAGGCTTTGGGAGTTCGGAAATGTATTTTACATGTGAAAGTGATGTAATTTTTTTTTTTTTTAATTATTGTACTTTAGATGAAGGTTTACAGAACAAACTAGCTTCTCATTAAACAATTAGTACACGTATTGTTTTGTGACATTGGTTGCCAACCCCATGACATGAGTTCCCTATTACCAGCTTTCCTCTCACCTCCTGCCTTTTTGTCCTTGCCCCTGGGCTAGTATGCTAATTTAGTCTTGTTTTGTTTTATGGGCCTGTCTAATCTTAGGTTGAAGGGTGAACCTCAAGAGTGATTTCATTACTGAGCTAAAAGGGTGTCTGGGAGCCATATTCTTGGGGTTTCTCCAGTCTCTGTCAGGCCAGTAAGTCTGATATTTTTTTTGTGAGTTAGAATTTTGTTTTACATGTTTAGAAGGGCATTTCTTGGGAGAAGGAATGGTGGATGCAGTGGTTAGAATCATAAAGAGCTTAGTGATTTCTGGGAATTATAAGATATATATATATATATATATATGCAGGTATTGGGTGGGAGATGAGGCTAAAAGAGGTAAATATGGATGGAATAACAAAGCTAAGAAGTATGGATTTGCTTCTGTAGGAAATGCTTCCATCCCTATGTCTTCATACCTGATTTTAACTATTTTTTCTTGAGACCAACTCTGACTTTCTCACTCGTATTTATCTTGTTTTCCTTAAACTCACAGACGTTTTGTCTGTATTTTTCTCTGAGCCATCACTACTTTCTACTTTTTAAAAATAATTACTTATAACTGTGTTAGCACCTTTGCTCTACAGCAAGCTCCTTGAGGGCAGAATGCATGCCTATAAGCCCCCAGGTTCCTTTGTGACCTTTACGGTATCTGCTCACCTTTGTCAATAAACATTTGATAATAGAATGAATGAACAGAAGGTCCAGTGAGCATCCTTAGCTTCTTCAGAATACTTTTACCCTCAAAAACATGTTAAATGAAAGACACCAGTCAGAAAAGACCACATATTGTAGGATCCCATTTACTAAATGGCCAGTATAGGCAATTTCATAGTGACAGTAGATTAGTGGTTGCCTAGGGCTTGGTGGTGGTGTTAGGGGTTAGTGGTGGCAAGAATAGGGAGTGATTACTGATGGTTGGACAACTCTGAAAGTGTACTAAAAATCATTGAATTGTATACTTTAAATGTGTGAATTTTATGGTATGTAAATTTTATCTCAATAAAGCTGTCAAATTTTGCCACATTTTAAAAAGGTATCTTCAAATGCATATGTATTTTTTTTCCTGTTCCCATGTTTACAACATACACTTAGAGACTTACATTATAATGTTTATTATTGTTTTTAACAATTCTGACTCAGGGCTCAGTAGAGTGTAGGTGAAGGAGAGCTTTCGGAATGCAGTAACCCTTTCAGAGTCACTAGGGAGTGTGAAGGGACTCTTCTGATAAGCTTGTGCAGAGTGACCTCATTCTCTTTCAGAGGAGTACTGCAGTAAGTTATTTTAGTATCAGCAAAATGGCGCTTCTAGATATATTTAAACAGCATAGTTTTATTTTTTCAGGTTTTGAAGACGTCTGTCTTTAGGGAGTAATGTATTGCGTTGTCTTAATAAAAAGAAATATGACATTGGCAGAAGTAGAAGGAATGGCGCTATTTTTCCGTCACCTTCAGAGCAAGAGCTGGTTACAGTTTGTTTTTTCAGTCTGTTGATCTTGTGTTTCTCATTAACAGGCACTTTAAAGTCTATTTTATACTAAAGTGTTTATGAAGCCACACATATTAATAAAACATGCGACTTTAGAGAAATTGTTTAATGTGGTTTTCTTCTTTCACACATTGCAGGAACTTGTAGTTTCTATGCTGATGAAACAGCAGGGAGCAGCTATTCTGCTGTGCTCCCTCATGCAAAATTTAGCCCTCTTGAAAAATGAACAAAGATCGGAGCCGAAAGATATCCATCATACACTGTACCCACAAGAAATATTGAGTGAAATCATCATCAGATAATTTAAATAAAACAGTTTTCTCCTGCCACTGTATTCACCAGTTAGAATCCTTTAGTCCATTTACATTATGTGTGTGGTCTTTGTTTTCATACGATTGCCACCTACCTTAAAAAATGGGATGTTTCAGCTGAATGTTTTGGTCGGGGGGTGGGCGGATCTGATCTACTTGACCCTGATTGAACATGAATCATGACAGCAGGTGGTGCCTCACTACAGATATGATTGTTCTTACTGTGATTTCTTCCGAGAGCCTGCAGTAGCTAAAACACTGCATTTAGTTTCTCCTGCAATCTGTAGGTTTTACTCAGTGCTTCAGCCTTGAGCTGGATCAGTAGGTCTTCCCAGGTGTGAATGGAAGGGCTTACTATACCAGAGAGAGGTACAGACATCACGATTTGGCAGGAGGTTCTCCAGGTTGTCCCAAGTTCCGTCCCCCTTCCCATGCAATCCAAGAGGTTGCTTGGAGAGACCTCTTAAGTAAGTACCCAGCAATATGGTGGAAGGAGCATGGGGTATTGATAGATAATGAGGTCCAGACAGGATAGAGGCTGGGTCTCCAGCTCTGCCCCTTTCTGTGGGTGTGACTTGGAGGCCAGGTATTGCACCTCTCTGAACCTCAGCTTTCTCTGATTTCTGATGGGCAAGAATGACAGGGGCTACCTGCTAAAGCCATGCTCTTTCTTGGGCAGTCCCCGTTGTTGAACAGAGACTCAATGCATTTTCCTAAAGAAAGGATGGGTGCAGTGAAATATTGTTCTTAGAATTATTCTTCTGGCACATAATGGGTTTTGGAGTTGGAAACTTAAACATCCTTTTACCTTTTAATGATAAGTTTACAAGTGAGCTGCGGCCCCACTGAGGTGTTGGCGCCTTCCCATAGCTCACAGTCAGACTTGGCTCCTCTCTTTATGAGCTTCTTTTCTGGTTGTGAGAATGCTTGGAATTCCTAACTTGGATTCCAGCATTCGGGCTCAGATATTGTCTCTAGGTATTTCTGGTTGAAACAAACAAATAGATATTTATACACACATATACACACAAATGTTCGCGTGTGTGTTCATCACCTGAAAACAACAGCACCGACCACAGATACATCAATCAGTAGTCGCGCAGGGTTCCTTGCAGTATGGGCTAAGGTCACAAGCAAGTGTTCTCTAGGTTGCTATTTGTCCAGGGCTGGCGTGGCTGGACAGGGCAGTTAAGCAGGTATAATAATTTACTTTTGTAATTACTTAAACATCATTTTGGTTTGCTTTTGTTTATCCTAGGAGCCCTGGTGGCACAGTGGTTTAGTGCTTGGCTGCTAACCCAAAGGACAGCATTTCCAACCCACCAGTGGCTCCGTGGGAGAAAGATGTAGCAGTCTGCTTCCATAAAGATTACAGCCGAGGAAACTCTGTGGGGCAATTCTACTCTGTCCTATTAGGGTCACTATGAGTTGGGATCAAATTGAGGGCAAGGGATTATACGGGTTTTTGTTTATCCATTTTTAAAAGTGTGAAAATGGTTTTTTTTTTTTTAATTTTTCAAAATTTTTCTTTATTTCGAGTGTTAATGATTGCATTTCCCCCCATTAAACCTTGTTAAAGTCGAAGGGAGAATCTAGCACATGTACGTGAACTGATTTCGAGCTGTGGCAGGTCACTTTTCAGGGAGACGTCAGAGGCTGTGACCTTCAGCTGTTGCGGAGCTGGTGGTCCAGGGCAGGGGAGGAGAGCCTTGGGACCCCTCAACCCTGAATCACCCTGGCCCAGTCACAGCTGCCACTGAGCCCCTTGCCTCATCTATAACATTAGGTAATACTTCCTGCAGGGCTAACCCAGTTCCTAGAACACTGTGTAATAAATAGAGGCTATGTAAGTCACTGTGTTATTGGATTGCTGATTGGAAATGAGAAGATCTGACTTTATCTCAACCTTATTACCAACTAGCCATCACCTTGAATAAGTTTCTGTATTTCTCTGGGCCTTAGTGGTCTTATCTGCCAAGTGGTGGGATGGGCTCTTATGTAAGGTTCCTTCATTTCTAAAATGTTACATTTCTGTGGGCCCTCGTAGATTGTAAGCTTTTTAGATGATCACCATTTTCATTCATCTTTATATCTCAGCACTGTTGTGGGGCAAAACATTGTTTGAATGATTATTGAATTTGCAGCTACATATATGTACCACCCACGTTTAGTTATATAGTTCCGTGTAGTTATGTGATAGTTATGAGCTTATTTATGCGTATCTGTGAATATATATAAATGGGAGTGATGTCTTTTTTGATGTTTGTCCCCAAGCGGTCTGAAATACACCTTTATCTCTAAATATCCATTTATATATATACGTGTGTATGTCTAGATGTAGTGTACAAAATTTAAAAATTACTTAAAAATGACCAAGATGCAAGAATATGCATTTTAAAAAGTTGTTGCTTTAAAATAATTTATTTATGCTTAATTATTTGGGTATGATGACTAGAATAACCTAGGTAACAGAAAAATGCTTTTGGTAGCTTCTAGGTTTAAAAAACTCATTACAGAGGATTAGGGGAAAAAATAGTAATTAAAAAGGTACTGTCAAGGTTGGTAGGTCTAAATTTAACATACCAGCTGTGTTTTGGTTTATAGGGTGTGTGTGTCATGCCGTCTCCCCATGCTGTTTGTCTGCTCTGTTATGAGCCAGGAGCATGTTCTAATGTAAATGCAGATGGTGCCTTCTGAATGCAGAGGTGGATGCTTGAATGCTGCAGTGCCCTGCTGGCTGGCGAGAACCTTGTAAGTGTCTGGAGAAGTTTAAAGCGGGCAGGTGTAATGCTGCTAGGCTTTCTAGCTTAGCCGTGGTCTGTTTCTGAAGGAACTCTTCAAGAACGTTGCCCGGCCTACCCTGTGCTAGAAATACTGTGTTTTACTGAATGTAAAATGCCATCAATTATAAAATATGCCATTATTTTCTGTTCCACCAAGAAATAACCTTGACAATTAAGCTATAATAAAATGCTTTCTTGTCCATTAGAATATTCACTTTATTTATTAAGAGAACGTAGATAAAAAGGAAAATGTAAGTGAAATGGACTGGTGGAGATACCTTTGAAACTTACTCACATTTAGAACCCCAGTCTTCTGAATCGCTTTTCAACCCCGGGTTGTCCATGGCAGTGTTTTCCTACATAGTATCACCGTCCATGGAGTCCCTGGGTGGCACAAATGGTGATGTTCTCAGCTATTAACTGAAAGGTTGATGGTTTGAATCCACCCAGAGGTGCCTTGGAAGAAAGGCTTGGTGATCTACTTCTAAAGGATCATAGTCATTGAAAACCCTCTGGAGCTCAGTTTTACTCTGAAACACATGGGGTCACCATGAGTTGGAATCAACTCAATGGCAACTGGCTGGCTGGCTAGCACCCTCTATGCCATTAAGACTACTAGTGATGTAGCATTTCGTAAGAGTGCTCTACTATTGACTCTACGTTTTTCCCAAGCTGTTGATGCTTGTTCTGCATGTTTTGATGCTATTGCTTTCTTAATCTTACAAAGACAATGTCACAAACTATGTTCTGACTGCTCCCTGGCCCACAGTGACAGTAAGATGCCATCGATTTCAGAGATGTTAAAATGTGAACAAATGTGCGTTGGAGAATCAGTGGAATATGGCAGCAGTGCACTGTGTGTGAAGGGACGTTGATCAAGGAGTCACTGACCAGAGGTGAATAGTGGAGGTCTGCAGTATGGAGTATTTTCTTTGTTCTAAATGTTTACCACCACAGTTAAAGATATTGTTCAAGTACTATTCTTCTCTAATCATTTCAATGTACCCGTTCCCTTTTCTGTTTTGTGCAGAATCCTAACTGAGAGTCTAACCTGGATAGGTGATAACTCTGGTGTCTATCTTGTTGAAATATCTTTCAAACATCAGTGCCCTTCAATATACCTTGCTGTTCAGACATTCATAGTTATTTGTAAATTAGGAGAGATACAAAGATAAGTGAGGCTTGTTGCCCTCCAGGTGTTGATGGTCTAGATGAGAAACGGGAATGAACACAATTAGCAATAATACCACATAGTCTTGTGGGTCCTCTTATGGGTGAGGAAGCATTTGCTATGCTTCATATAATTATAAGCAAGTCTTCTCCTATAGTGTTTTTTTTTAAAGATAGAAGTCTATCATAATAGACCATGTAAATAGAACTGAAAAATGAATTAGGATAAAATTATGCACTATTTGCCATGGAATTATTAAATTTGATTAAGTCTGCCTTCAATGGATTAAGAAAAAATCATGTATCTAAAGAGATATGATAAATGTACATGATTCTGGATTGGATCTGGACCATATTATTATTTTCTTTTCTTTAAAAGACATATATTGACAATCGGTGAAATTTGAATAAGATCTGTAGTTATAGTATTGTATGACTTTTAATTTCCTAATTTTGATCCTTGTACTGTAGTTATATAATAGATTATTGTTATGTTTTGGAAATATACACTGAAATATTTAGGAGTAAAGGACATCATGTCTGCAATTTACTGTCAAATGTTTCAGAAGAAGGTATATGTATGTGTGTGAAGAATGATCAGATATATCTGTTAATTGGGAATCTGAGTGAAGATACATGTGAATTTTTTGTACTATTGTAACTTTTATGTAAGTTTGAAATTATTTCAAAATAAAAACTTACAAACTTAATGTGTTTAGTACTTTAAGTCAACTTATTTTATGTGATTTAAAGTCAGATATATACGTATTTAAAAAAAAAAAAATCCAGTCTCTAGGTGGAAACTTGCAAGACATCCTCCCTCTGGTTCCTTGCTTTCAGATAACTCTGAAGAAGTCTCTCACTTTGTGAATTTATATATATTTTGGGGCTTGCATGGGCATTATTTACACATATATTTCTATTTTATTGCTGTTTTTCAAGTACTCATTATTGTGTCTGAGATGTTTTAAATGATATTTTTTAGGAGGCAGTTTCTTATACTTAGCCTTTGATAATGAATTCCCAATTATCTATAAGTAGCTATTCTGATGATTAAATTCAGAAAGGAGATCGCCTTTTGTTACTTGCTAAACTAACCATTCTGATCCCTGCTTCTCTCCTGCCTCTTCACTTCCCTGTGTATCACCTCTCTTTTCATTGTCACCCCTCCCCCTCTCTTCTTCGTGAGACCAGATTCATCCTTAAAATCAGTAAAGTTCTACCTCTTCCAGGAAGATTTATTTGATTATCCCTATGAAACTCTGATCACTTTTTTTATAGTTTATTTTTTGTTGTTATTGAGAATATACAGAGCAGAACATACACCAATTCAATAGTTTCATGTAAAATTCAGTGGCATTGATTACATTCTTCGAGTTATGCAACCATTCTCACCCTCCTTTCCTGAGTTGTTCCTCCCTCATTAACATAAATTCACTGCCCCCTTAGGTTCTTATCAAATCTTTTGAGTTGCTATTGCCAATTTGATCCCCTGTAGATAGTTCTTAAAAGAGCATAATGCTCAAGGCATGTTATTTTATTGTTTTATATTATTCTTAGTGATGGGTAAAATTGTTGTTGCTTTGTGGTCATTTAAAGTTCCATATACAGATTATTTTCCCAGCCCAGTGTTAGACTACTGGCAGGTAGCAGTTGCTTTCTCTCCTCCCTGCATTTACCCTCTGGCGCATGGCTTCTCTCTCTGCAAACAAGGTGGTTGCTCACTAAAGGATTCTAACGGAGTGGGTATCTTTTACTGAATCTAATCTAAAGCTAACTGTGGTTTTTTTTTCTTTTTTCTTTTTAATTATCTATATCTCTCCTCTCTTTAGCTTCCAAATTCTGAGGGGTAAAGACTTAAAAAATTTTTTTTTGGTCTGTATTAGTTGAGCCAGTGTTTAAATAATTTAGCTAATTTGTTTGCTCTTTTTAATTCAGGCATCACAGGTGGGATTTTTTTTCCCCACCTATAATTAGACCTATGATTTTTGAAGAGCACTGGTGGTTAAGTGCTCAGCTCTTCACGAAAGGTTGGTGGTTTGAACCCACCAGCCACTCCACAGGAGAAAGATGTGGCAGTCTGCTTCTATAAAGATTACAGCTTTGGAAACCCAATGGGGCAGTTCTACTCTATCCTGTAGGGTTGCCTGTGAATCAGAATTGACTTGAAGGTAGTGAGTTTGGTTTTTACAACACACATTTGAACAAAAAACCATTCCAACACAACTTGTGTTTTCTACTTTGTGGTAAAGATAAAGTAATGAGATTAGTTTTTGCTTGAGGATACATCACATTTGCATCTTAAATGTAACTGTTAATATTTTTCTTCTTATTGATTTAACTCAGTTAAAGTAACATTTTTAAAAATTGTAGTAAAATATTTTTAACAAAACATTTGCCATTTTAAGTGTTTTTAACTGTACAATTCATTGATATTAATTGCATTCACCATGTTGTGCAACCATCACCACTATCCATTTGCAACCTATTTATTTTATAAACAAAAAACATATTTATTTTATAAATTAAAAATTAAGAAAAGCAACTTTTTTTGAGTGACAAAAGTTTAGATGATTATGTGAAATAATGAGCTGTGGCTCTTTGGGTTTGGTTCATTTCTTAAAAATCATTTTGATCTTCTGCATTATCTTTTTTATGTTATCTGAGGGCAGGATGTTTTACAAGGTTAGGATAAGACTGTAAAGTATCCTTTTGAATCTCTGAAACTTTTTTTTTTTGTTAAATCTTTAAAGAAGTTGTTTGACCTATATACAAGCAATCCTTGGGTTGCGAACGAGATCCCTTCCTAACTCTGTCTTTAAGTTGAATTTGTAGGTAAGCAGGAATGGGTGCGTACAGTTCTTATTTAGTCTTACTTTAGTGCAAGAAAAGGTTTGAAGCTTTTTCAGTGATTTAAAAGCTGCATGTGCAGCAAGTGAAGGTGATTGTAATGAAAAATTTGTTGCAAGTAGGGATCTGTTGCAAGAACTTGTTCAAAGTGAGGGCAAATTTACGTAACATAAAAGGGCAGGTACGAGTTGCCCTTAAATCTGATGTACGTAACCCAGAGACTCTGGCATCTTTACCATAATCTGACGTCCTCTAACATTTGACTCCTGCTCTTTTATTCGTCATCACATTCCATGATCTCCAGAAGAATTTGCAAATGAGAAAACAGGCTCTGAGAGGCGCAGTGACTTACCCCTGGGCCACAAGTACAAACACCTGGATTAAGCTTGGGTCTTCACTCCAAACCTGTGTGCTCTTCTGGGTCAGCGCCTCTTAAACTTGCTTGTGCCATAGTCTCCTCTGGCAATCTCGTGAAACCTATGGATCCATTATCAGAAAAGAGTTTTTAGATACATAATACATATAGCATTACAAAGGAAACCATTTATAACAGTTGAAAAACAGATTTTTAACATAGTAATATACTTATTAGATCTGGTGTTGGATGTATTAACTGCTGTTACTTAAAAGGGATGATGGACACGAATGATACTTTGAAATGTCTGCAACAACTGTAATGTGTTATGAAAACATCTGATTTCTATTGGTGACACACAGGCGTTTGGTTTTGGTTTTTTGATGGCTAATATTACTTGGTTTTAGGCCATCATAATTAAAGGAAACACTCACTTTCGTTTAGAAGTTAGTGAAAATCAAGGTGCATTTCTTCCCCCTGCCCGAGTTTATGGACCCTTGAAGTTGTAGGTTAAGAACTCCTGCACTGGACCACGTTGTCTTTCATGTCAGCATACATTTATACCACTGCCTGGCCCTAGCACGTGTTAGGTACTTAATAAAAGCTAAATAAACAAATTGTAAAACCAAAATTATGTTAATGATATAAGGACTCAGAAAAAAAGAAGAATTAAGTCGTACATGGGAGATTTTTTTTTTTTAATCATTGCTTTACGTGAAGCTTTACAAATTCTTATTCAACAGTTTATACACAGATTGTTTTGTGACATTGGTTGCAATCCCCACAATGTGTCAACATTCTCCCTTTCCACATCCCAATTCTGTTTTCATCCGTCCATTTTTCCTGTCCCTTCCTGCATTCTCGTTATTGCTTTTGGGCACACGTTGCCCTTTTGGTTTCATATACACGATTGAACTAAGAAGCACATTCCTCACGTGTGTTATTGTTTGTTGTATAGACCTATCTAACCTTTGGCTGAAGGGTGTACTTTGGGAGTGGCTTCACTTCTGAGTTAAAAGGGTGTCCAGAGGCCATGGTCTTCCTGACTAGTAGGTCTGGTCTTTTTGTTTGTGAATTTGAAATTTTTTCTATATTTTTCTCTCGCTCTGTCCAGGACCCTCTATTGTGATCCTTTCAGAGCAGTTGGTGGTGGTAGCTGGGCACTGTCTAGTTCTTCTGGGCTCGGACTGGTGGAGGCTCTGGTAGTTGTGGTCCATTAGTCTTTTGGACTATTATTTCCCTTGTGTCTTTGGTTTTCTTCATTCTCCTTTGCTCAGGCGAGCATACATGGGAGATTCTTTTTTTTTATTTTTTATTTTATTTTATTTTATTTTTATATTTTATAGTACTTCAGGTGAAGGCTTACAGAACAAATAGTTTCTCATGAAACAGTAGTACACAT